CTGATCCGTGCATCTCTCAGGATCCCACCTTCCTCCGTCTACTCCTGTGGTCCAATAGATAAAGTGTCACCTTGTTTGATAAATGAAGGGCAGCGGTCAACACGGGCTCTTTTAACATGACAAGAGCCGAGTATTGGATCTGCGATGCCCTGGATACAGTCAACATAAAAACATATCGAATGGCATTCCTCGCCACATTCCTCTCAATATCAAAAGGTGCGTATTTGAGGATATCCTTAGTGCGTTTACGCCTGTGTTTGCGCCCCTGACCCACTGGGGGCCAGCGCAATAACTTTGGACTCCCTCCCACTGCATCTCGTTGCAATGACCACTCTCAGTTTTTATTTAGCTGGGTTGTGTGCCTTCCCAGTCCAGCCGCTTTTCAGATTCATTTCCAGGTAAACACAGTGTGGCCAGCCACAAACCTGCAGCCAACAGGCGTTGTCACAGCTGTGGCAGATAATGGCAAGTCCAAACTCCAGCCCGGCTCTGGAATGTTTACTGTCACCACAGGCAAGTTGGCAGCAAACATTTTTTTTTTTTTCCAACACTTTCCAAGAGGAAGACTCTCTCGTTATTAATTTTATTTTGATGAATTACATGCTTAACCTTTTGCCCTGCGCTGTTTTGTGTGACACAAAGACAACAGACATTCATAAGTGGATCTTTTAATTTCAGTTGGGAAAACAAAAAAAAAAAGATCCTCACTTTGAAAGCTGAAAGTTAACACATTCCCGCCAACAACTCCTGGGTGTTTGAAGGAATGTTCCAAAAGTTCCGCCTTCGTCTCACGGAGCAGAGATCGGCCCGTTTCCATCCCCCAATCTGCACCCAAGAAAACCTCCCAGAGTCACTTTAGGGCCTCGCTCATGTAGGTGCTGTGCTTTCACTTCTTTAACTGAGTCATTAAACTTTCACCGCTTAGTGGTTTTCCCTTGTCATAACCAGTAAAGGAGCGAAAACCTGAAGGCGTGAAATGCTGATCATCACGGAGGCTAATTGATCAAGAGAGAGGCGAATGTAGCTGGAGGTGGTCGCACCGTTAGTCTGTCTGCTGAAGGCATTTATTCTCTGGAATATTACAAGAAGACAATGAGCTGCAGTGTACTGGGTGCTCGGAGTCATCTTTGTGACACTGTTGTGGTTTCCGTTGTATTTTTCAGGGTTGTGAAAGCTGGGAATGACAAAGCAGTTAGTTCATGTTGCAGCATGAATTCAGGAGCCGAAAATCACGATACTCTAACTCATGTGTTGAAATTAACAATTAAAAAAAGAACTTTTTAATGCATAGATATTGCAGATTAAACTCAAGTCAAGTGATATTAATATGGCCAAGTTAATACTACTGAAGCTGACCCTTGTGCTTTACAAATGAGACGTATAATATGAACACTACACACATACCTGGACTGTTTAAATGTTAAGTCAAGATCTCACAATATTAATGAATTTAATAACACTGAAAGATTCTCTTCAAACAAGCAGTGGAGAGGAGGAACTCTGTTTATACATGAAGAGGGCTCCAGCAGAGCCAGGTTCAGGTAAGGAGACGTCTGCTTTCACTGAGTCAGGTGAGGAGAGAACGGAGGAAGAAAATCTGTTGTTCATGAGATCAGCCAAAGCATAAAAAGAAGCTAATGGATGTAGGAGTTTAAACTGTCTGGACTTTTGCTATAAAGCTGCTGCTCACTTCACAAAGGCTTAATGGAGACGGGTTCCAGGTAACATAACACAGATAATTTAATCACGAGTTGACTGTGCAACACTTAAAAATGCTCTTTTTAAGTGTTGCACGTAATGTAAAGAAACATTTTTTAAAGAACAAACAACCAAACCTCACTGAATGGTAAAAGGAAACAAAAAAAAACATCTTTATGCTTTATCCATTTGTGTTTTATTGCACAACTGCACCCTAATATTTCATCATTCAGGAACCGTGTAACCGTTTAGCACAATTAAATCAGAGTTTAACGCAGTGAGTTTGGATTTGTGCTGTTTCTAATTTGTTGTTTTGGTTGCAAGTACATTGTTGTACATTATCTTGGTGTGTTTTAACTGTTTTACAACATTTAAATATCATCTCTTGGCGATAACCTCAACATTTTCTCTTTGCTGACACAGTTTGTTTCTTTCTGATATTAAAGCCATTCAGTTGTGCAACACATTAAAAAGAAAATCTGATGGATGTTGTTTTCCAATACTTTGGCTTCAGTGTGATTCATTGCACCGACAAGCCAAACAGACATCAAGGAGCCCGTTCGATACTGACTGATGTCCCTCTGTAGCCCTGGAGAGATGTTGCCCAACTTTTTTTTTTTTTTGTGCCTCATGTGAGAGGGTAAAGAGGGCAGTTATTGTTGTGGAGTGACATGCACATGATACACCAGGAGGGTAAATAAGAAATAGAAAATAGGGCCATAGAGCAACTGAAATAAGGCCCCAGATGAAGTTTTTGTTTTTGACTAAATCCAAAATGTGACCTTCACCCATGTGAGAGGACTCGGGCAGGTTGATGATTAACTGTGGAATTAGCAACATGTCTCATTCAGGAACACAATGTCATGCAGGTCAAGGACCATTTTAGAATGGTGACGATTTCTGTCTGTAATTATGAAATGACCACGTTGAGTGTTTTTATTCCCAATGCATACAATAGATGTACACTTATTATAAAGAAACAATCAGTTTTTGGGTAAGTTTACACACTAGTGTAGAAAGTATCCTTATTTTTTCCCCAAATTCAAAAACACCACAGATGCTTGTGCAACCCTCACAGTCATGGATCTGCTGGTATACGTGCGCACAGAGGTGTAGACATTTTGGCCCTATTTTTGTGTACTTTTATGCAACAGGAGCACGTGTGAATATGCAGGAAATTGGTTTGCATGAATTTATTTGTATTTTAAAATATGAACTTAAATGCATGATTCATGGATGCGTTTATTGATATTTTACATCAGCCTCATTTATTGCACATAAAATTCCACACATACATAAATGTGAGGTGGTTGTTTGTTTTTAAATGCTTCATCACAATTTGAGGGACTGTGGTTTTAATTATTGAAAATATAAAAAATAAACCTCTTGTGTTGACTGAGTCCAGCCGAGAAAGCGCAGATTTTGACCATCTCCAGCTCTCCGCCGGTGCAATCCCAAATCCTCAAACACACAGAGCTTTTTCTCATGATCTCATTTCCAAGTTAAGCAGACTGTGTTAGTCCCTCGTCAACACGACAGGTTTACTCGCCTTTACTAATGGGGCTCTATACTGATAGTTATGCTCTTGCGTAAATATGCAGTCAAATAGATGTACAACTACCGACACGTGGCTGGCACCGCTCTGCAGCCTCACCTTGATGTTTGTGTCATACAAATACTGTACGGAGGGTTTAGTTTTTTTTGCGAGCATTAAGGGGCCCTCAGCACTCCGGGCCTTACCCGTCTGCTGCTGCTGCTGCTGCTGCTGCTGCTGGGCCGGCACACTGAAACATAAACTTAGAATATTCAAAACGTCTCACAATAACCAATATAAGCGTTCCTTTTACGCACATCCTTTTACGCACGACCTTTTACGCACATATCCGGGCCTATATTCACTCCAGCAAATAAAATGTGGATAAGACAGTTTGGAGTTTGATATTGCTGCATCCCTTTTAATTATGACTTTAATTATTTTTGCATCTATTTGGTGCCTCAAACTCCCCAAAAGAAATAAACAAAAAATTCTCTATTTTATTATGTTTCACGGGTGTTTGAAAACTGCCTCATGTGCCACGAAGCCAGTTGGATTGAACACCCGAGAGAGGGCGCTCTGGAGCTACTCCTGCCATATTCAACACTAATTAAAACATTCAAAAACAGTCATTCAAGTTAAGAAATCAGGTTAAAACATTGGGGTTTTTTAAAGGCAAATATTGGCAAATTAATTTAGCAAAACACACTTTAATAGTGACAAAGTTGTGGAACCAAGAGAGTTTTAATTCAAACATTATGGTTTTAAAACTGAGGGAAAGCGATGGTGTTATTATTCTCTTGCTTTTTAAGTTTCATTGTCAAATGAAACCGTTTTAAAAATGCAGAAATAATTCGAATAGACACAGAAACAGACTCACAGCAGCTATAAGATCATTATTCTGGTCTTCAGGTTAACCCAGATGTTTAACACATATGATGTTCCACTTTACGCACAAACATTTGTGACTGAATTTATACAACAGAGGCTGTTAAATGTATGGAACATGAATTAATTATCGGTTTAAATATGCGTAAAAAACACTCCTTCATATGGATTTGGAGCGATAGATCAGCCTTTATCTCATTTATAACCGTTTTCGTGTTCTTTAGTGTCGCTGGTGTAAAATAATTAACAGTTATACGCGGGCTTAGGTTATAAATTCCTTGAACGCAACGCAATAAAAATGGATTATGATTTTAGCTCAGCTGAAGTGGAATAAGCACGTTGGAGGATGTGCGTAATGAAAAAGCGCACCATGGAAAAGCTGCCAAACATTCCTTTTATAGTTCCCTCTCTTTTTTCCCCCCTCTCTCTCTCTCTTTTAAACCCCGGCCAAAATACAATAAGATTAGTTTATAATGAAGCTTTTCATATGAAACTGTTCTTTTCAGTCAGCGCAGGTGTACAATTGGGGTGGTGGTGGTGGTGAGGAGGAGGAGGAGGAGGGTGGTGGTGGTGGTGGTGGGGGGGGAAAGCTTGAGGAGTCTCACGCCTAGGTGCGAGGAGATTATTCAAATAGGGCCCAAGGCGTAGAAGTAGGGATTGGAGGCTTGCCTAGCGCACAGAGCTATATCACAGCGTTAACAAGCAGCACGGAGCGTCATTTGAACTCCAGTCACTGACAGACGCATTTCACGGCTGGCTCCATACACCACACATGCGCCAGTCCTCGACGAAGGGACACACCGACGACCTAAATACACTCAGTGGTCCCCAGTCACCTGCTATTAGAGAGACTTTTGGCTTTTCCTCTGCTGGGAGACGCTTTGTAAAAGTCCTCCATGATGCTTGGAGCAGTTAAAATGGAAGGACACGAACACACCGACTGGAGCACCTACTACGGAGAGCCCGAGGTGGGTACCTTAAATATATATTTTTTTCCGTCTAAAGCCGATCCCATTTTATACAACTCAATATTAGCCCTGAGATAATATTAACTTTGTGATCAAATATTGACTTGAGGCGCCTCCAAATCCTCCCCCATCTCCACGCAGCGCTCTATCCTAACAAAGTTGCTTGACATGTAGGGGGGGAAACTTTTCTCTCGGATAATAATTTCATAAGTCTATAGGTGTCTTTACTAAATCAGATGATTATTTTTTTATTTTTTTGTCACGTTTCCTCTCAATAAACATCTGTACTGTTTGAAGTTGGGGAGATTGATTCAAATATTTGTGTTGCAGGCGCTGTTTTCGTGTGAGCACAGTCTTATTAGGTGTAAACATTTACATCGACATTGCACATTTTTATCAGATTATTTAACTTTTTTTTTTTACTCCACACACTAGCGGGATTACTTACAATATTTCTGTGATTTTAATTTTTAACGCTGTTTCGTGCGGAAGCCACTTCAGCCTTTACGAGCCACTGCGCATCAAAAATACGCAGCTGTCTTCTAATTATTTGAACTCAGTAATAATGAAATGATTTTCTTAGGATTAGATAATATGTGATCTCTGTGTTTAGTAATTACACCTGCGTTTAATTCGTGTCTGTGTGTGATGCCAGTGCCTCCTGAAACTCATGAATGCCTCTTTCCCCTCATTGACAGTGTTACACCTCGGTTGGCAACATGAACACGGGCCTGGGAATGAACTCGATGAATACCTACATGAGCATGTCCGGCATGAGCACCACTGCCAACATGACGGCCAACTCCATGAACATGTCATACGTCAACACGGGCATGAGTCCCTCCATGACCGGCATGTCACCGGGCACCGGAGCCATGAACGGCATGGGCGCAGGCATGACGGCCATGAGCGCCGCCCTGAGCCCCAGTATGAGCCCCATGACCGCGCAGCCCGCGTCCATGAACGCCTTGACATCGTACACTAACATGAACGCCATGAGCCCCATATACGGACAGTCGAACATCAACAGGTCCAGAGACCCTAAGACCTACCGCAGGAGCTACACGCACGCCAAGCCCCCGTATTCCTACATTTCCCTCATCACCATGGCCATCCAGCAGTCTCCCAGTAAGATGCTGACACTGGCCGAGATCTACCAGTGGATAATGGACCTCTTCCCCTTTTACCGACAGAACCAGCAGCGCTGGCAGAACTCCATTCGCCACTCTTTGTCGTTCAATGACTGTTTCCTCAAAGTGCCCAGGTCTCCGGATAAACCGGGGAAAGGCTCCTTTTGGACTCTCCACCCGGACTCCGGGAACATGTTTGAGAACGGCTGCTACCTGAGGAGGCAGAAGCGCTTCAAGTGCGAGAAGAAGATGACCGTAAAGGATTCCGGCCGCAAGTCGGGAGACGGCGGCTCCTCCAACAGCAGCTCCGAGAGCTGCAACGGCAACGAGTCCCCGCACTCCAACTCCTCCTCCAGCGAGCACAAAAGGTCCCTGTCGGACATGAAGACGAGTCAGGCCCTGAGCCCGGAGCACACCGCCGCCTCCCCGGTGACGCAGGGGCAGCACCTCATGTCTCAGCATCACTCGGTCCTCGCGCACGAAGCGCACCTGAAGCCGGAGCACCACTACTCCTTCAACCACCCGTTCTCCATCAACAACCTCATGTCATCGGAGCAGCAGCATCACAAAATGGACCTAAAGACTTACGAGCAGGTGATGCATTACTCTGGCTACGGCTCCCCCATGGCCGGAGCTCTTTCCATGGGCTCCATGGCGGGGAAAGCCGGCCTGGATTCTTCATCCATACCTGACACAACTTACTACCAGGGCGTCTATTCCAGGCCAATCATGAACTCCTCATAAACTCTTGTCCCCCCCTCCGTCTAATGTGGACTTTCTTCCCATTCGATTTGTACATTTGTAAAAAAAAAATAACAAAAAAATATAGACTTTGTGTACAATATGTATTTCAGATATTTTTGACGTTTCCCACCGTTTTAGTTGTCGAGTTTGTTCGTAGCCTAATTATTTTGAGAGAGGATGTTGATAATAATAATTAAAGTAATGATAATGTGACGAGATCTGTTCAGAAGTCGGCTTCAAGGTTGGACCCCAAAGACAAACAACAAGTTGCTGTATAATAGCCTACATCTGCATAACTGGATTCCTAAATGAATTTAAATGCCTCGCAAGGATTTGTTCAATCATTTGTGTAATTCCTATTTATGGCTTGTATATGTGTATTCTTGTAGTGACAAGAACAGAATCTATATTAAAGTGTTATTGGTTTTGTTTTCTGAATATGACGGTGTAATTATTATCATTACTATTATTATTATTATTATTATAGAATTCTCAGTAGTAGTAGATGAATTAGTGTCTCCACCACTATTTGTTTTTTACAGCATTTTGTTCCTTTTTAGGATGCACATACATTTTTAACGGAATATATCACAACTTGTGGGCAGATATATTTAATATTAAAAGGAAAAAAATAATTTAAATTAGGTTCCATTAAAATACACGTTCAACTTAAAAATATATATATTTGTGAAGGAGAAGGACCAGCTATAAACTGTGCTTGTTTTTCACTTAGACGTGGTTCAGGCGTGCGTAATTACGCACACGAATTCCATGTGAGCGCATGAAACAAGTTTCACACTATTTATTTTTAAATTTCTGGAATTTATTCATACCCATGTGCTGTGCTAATAAGGCTCATACTTACAGCTGGGATTAGTAGCTTTGCTGGATAGAACCGGGAACAATGCTCTCAATTTGTCTCCCAGGAAATGTAAACAAAACAAATACATGCTCATTAATCCAAAACACAAATTGAGATATTTATGGAGGAAAAAAGGGGAGTTTGTTTAACACATCAGCAACTTTGTACGATTTAAAATTAAAGTTTTTATTTTTTAAAAAGTACAATCCAGAGAAGAATTTTAGAAAGAAGAAATTCTGCTCCAAGTGTGTTTCTTGCAGAAATTTTAGCAATTAACAGCCAAAGCGCGCTCAATTTATTCTGGCTAATTCTGCAGCCTGCATGTGTGGGAAGAGTTGGTCACATAATACACATGTTTTAAATGAACCATTTAAATTCCCACACATACATTATGAGTAAAACTGTCACTCAAACACCGTGCAGGCCTGTCAGTCACCCATGTTCCACACATAAACAGCCCCTCTGTCACACCAACACACACACACACACACACTGCAAAGTTTAGATCAGTGAATAAGATTAAGTGTCATTGTCACATAAAACAGCCTCCCGTGGCGCAGGAGAATAGTTGGTGGAAAAGGGGGCTGATTTGGCAACAGAGCCGCCTGAATGTGCTGCTCTAACTTCTCTCCCCACAATCTGGGGGTCCATTGTCTACTCCCTATTTTTAAAGTAGTCGGACCCTCCCCTCTTGTTAGATAAGATAGTTGTCGTCCAAATGATTCCAACAACTCCCCTCCTGCCATGCTCCTTCCCCCTGCTGAGCTTCAAATCCAAGGCCGGGGAGAGTTTGGGGACATTTCTGCTCTCCCCTTATAACCAAATGACACCCCTTCGACTTCTGAACACGTAGGGCCTAAAGTGTGCGTTTATTCTCCAGACCCTCTTTACAGATCGTACTTTAAACAGCGTGATCTGCGAATAAACAAAGCCAGTAAACAATAGAGTGGAGGCTATGCCCACATATAGGAAGAGTACACACACAAACCAAATTGCACAAGTGTAAACTTTGAATAGGACGCCGCAGCTCTGTAAATTTACACAGACATTAAATTTCGTTCTATTCATTTTAGACATATAATGCTAAGCTGATTTTTTTTTATAGCACACTGATCGATATCTCTGTAAAATAATCATTTTTTTAACTAGCGGGGCAGTGAAATCTTTGCTTTGTGCTAAAGTCAACAGTGACAGAGTTTGAGCTCAAATAAATGCCGTGATGTCTGGAGCCCTTTGCAGAAGGCAGAAGGCGAGCTTCTACAATGGGCTCCTGTGTGGCTTGCCAACAACAAGCACCGGCTATTTTGCACAGGTATGAAGTTTTTTGATTTTTATATAACGCTCTCTTTCTTAAAAACCTTTATTATTTAGCTGCAGGGAAAAGAGACGCTTTTAATGGCCATTCCCCGGGCGTGCACGCAGAGGGGGGGTTTTCCGCACAGGCTGATATCCTAAAAATTCATGAGAAAGGAGACGTATTGGATTTCACGACAGGGTGGTGCAAAAAGCTGAGGGGATCTGCAGGTTGTGTGATAGAGGCTGCTGCAAGTTTCTGTGTCTTCCGAGTTGCATGATGATGGAGAGATGCTGCTGCACAAGAACTGACATGTGATTTATTTGATTCATTGTTAAAATATGTTCCTTTTTTCCTTTTTAAACAAAACGATCGAAGCATTGATGTGTTGATAATTCCTTTTGTTTCCATTGCTGGACCAGTTGGAAAAAACAAAAGCATCTTTAAAAATAGATGAGCTCTCTGGGAAAAAATGTAAAAATTGATAAGTTAAGCATGGAAAAATTGTGATGCTTTAAACCGGGAAGCAGCACAAAATATCGGATCTTTTCATGTGTTTGGAGACAAATGAGGCTCCATGTGGATGTGATGACTTGCTAGGATGATTATTTCTTGCAGTGTGCGGCTGATTGATATCATTGTTGCTGCACTGATGTCATGAACGGAGCTTTTGCTGCAGCGATGACCCTGCTGCTGCTGCTGCTGCTGCTTTTATTTTGGACCGGGTCTATAAAATCGATTTAGATTGATTTATTTCTGCAGGTAGCCCATATTTTAATAAGCAGTTCTCACATATACATAAAGCTGGTTATAGCTTTGATGACTGGGGTTTGGATTAAATTAATTTCATAGGCTGCAGGATTTATTTTGATCCAGAAACTGGAAATCTTAAATGCGTAAAAGCAATGCGCACTGACAAATCCTTTAATTTTTAAAATATGTTATCGTGATTTATAATAATAATAATAATAATAATAATAATAATAATAATAATAATAATAATAATAATAATAATAATAATAATAATAATAATAATAATGCACTTATGCCTTTACAGTATAAACTAATGTTCAGGAGGTCGTATTTAAATATTGAATAGCGAGTTCTTCTAAATCTTAAGCAGATGGAGAGTCCTCCAAAAACGTCCCCAGGCCTCTTGGAGCTTTACCGGTTCAAAGGTATCCAACCTCCAGCCTGTCAGAGGCCACCTCGGTGCACCTTTTCCTAACTTTAACACAGGCGCCTCCATCAGATACCTCTGCAGCTCCACCATGGACGAGCACATCTGTTGTTATAGCAACTGAATAAAAGGATGGTCCGGCCTGTTGATCCTTTTTTCCCCTTCTTTACTCCGCTAACCTAATTTCTCTGCATTTCTTCAGTTACTATTTGCATATTTTCTGATTAAGGCCTGAAAATCAGACCTTCTATTTTTTTCAAAGACACAATGCGTCCTTTTATTTTCTTGCAGCCTCTCTAACTCCGGCTACAGGCCGTCATTAATAAAATGTGTTTCAAAAATAACTGTCACAAGCAGGCAGGCATAGAAGCAAGAAATAATACATATAATAATACATATTATCTGTTAATCACAGTTCAGCTTCTTTTTATCTGTATTGCAGCAACAATAGGCGCTTTTTTCCTTTTATGTCTTTAAATAGTATAATTGTAGGAGACCTTTAAAGTGAAGCATTTTCCCTACAGCGATGCATTTTAATGCCGAGGCGAGTTTGGGCCTCTATTTTCTAGGAATGACTCAGTACCCTATAAGCCATACGCGCATCCACCCATGGGCGTCAACTGGCTGTAGCAGGGTAATGGCACTGCCACTCAGAGCAGCACTTTAATGTAGGAAACGAGGAGGAATGATAATAAATAATAGTGAAATATTTTTGATGAGCACCGCAGTCAGAGGAGCGAACAGGCGGATCTTTTTTTTTTTTTAGTGATCCACTAATAATAAAGTCGGCTCGTCGGTGCGCGCATGAACATCAGGTGGAGCGTTATTTCAGGGATGGCGTTGCACACAGCAGGGCGTCTGGCGCACCTTGAGGCGCTGCAGCGCTGCAGCCCCGCGGACTGGAACACCCAAGTAGATGTGTCTCCATGGCGACGGCGGGACACCGGTCCAACAAGCTGTAATTCTGTCTCAGCCTTTTGCAGGGGAGGGATCGTCCACACTAGCCCGACTTAACTCCTCTTTCACCAGAAATACTCCTAATCCCATATCTTAGCAAGGCAAACTGCCGTCCCTCAGTATATTAAAGGGACCACAAAGTCAAAACTGAAAGCCACCCAGGGTTTGTGAGCAGGTCCCGGTGCGCCGCTCCGCTGCCCCGTCCCGTCCCGTCCGTCCGTCCGCAGCCGCCGTCGTGCGCGTCTCCCGGTTCACTCGGCAGCCGGTGAAGAAAATCTGAGCGGTAGTTATTATTATTTCTATTTTGAGAAGCAGCGTGTGGAATTAAAAACAGAAGATTTTAATTCATGTAGGATCACATTTAGGAAGAAAAATTAAGCTCTGTATGAAAATATTAAAAACAAAAATGTCAGTTAATGTTTAAAAAATAATAATAATATTAATATTTTATCCTGTATTGAATGTGCACTGCAGGTCTATTGCCATGATGTCATTGCTGTCTGTTATTTCCTACTATTGGCAATTGTTTGTTTTTAAAATATATAATTTAGGATGAAGAAAATGTTAATTTAAAATAAAGTGAGCTGCGAGATCATTTCTAACCAAAAAAAGCAAATTCCACTCCTTCTCTTGTCATATCATCAGCTATAATGTACATTTATAGGTCTTATAGATAAATACATTTGCACATAAATCTACACATTTCTGCATCCTGATTTTTCCAGCAGCATGAAATAAAATAAAATAAAGATTAATACAACTAAAATTGCACCTTATATTTAGCAATATAATTATATGTGTGTGTAACTTTGTCTTGTAGCTGTTGGTAACTTTGCTTTTGGGTTTCAAAAAAGGCCTCAAATGCAAAGTTTAGGTTCAGCCTATTAGCTTAAATCCTCTCCTCTAAATGATGCTTTTAATAAATACAATGAAAACAGCAGAGAAAAAAAGTCCAAAACTGATCCTAAATTAAACTGGACCACATGCAGGTTTTAAAGGTATGAATTAATTATGTTTCTGTGATGGCCTTTTCATACAATTAATAAATGTCATTCTTTAAAATATATAATTTAAAAAATAAGCTCTCCTCACTTGCAAATTCTGCTTATTCTTTAAAACACTTGAGTAGCTATT